CCGGCTCTTTTTTTTTTTTTTTTTTAAATCACGAGTGGGCACATGTCAGGCCCGGGAATGCCGAGGCTTGTCTGATTGGAGGATTCCCAGCCACCTTGCCTGACCCAGTAGATGTTTTGCAAGTAATTCTGAATGGATGGTTTCAAGAGGGCCAGGCAACGTTATCGTGTCTCGGCGGGATCCTTGAGGGAGCCCTGAGTGCGTGCCACTTTTACACCTTCCTCTCGAGGTTCTCTTCTACCCGGATGACCCAGGAGGCCACTCTCTTCCCTCACATCTCTGCCAGCACCCACTGTTCGCACAGCACCCAGAGAGCGCCTCCTTGATTAGCACGCAGCTGCCGGCCCATCTGTGGATGCCCTTACTCAGCTCCAGCAGTGCCTGTGACATTTGTCCACCAGAATTTGTCAAACACACACGCGCCAAAGGTTAATATTCTGTCCCCGCACGCGTGGCGCTGAGGATTGACAACCTGAAGCTGTGTGTCGGTCTCTCTCCTCTCTCAAATTGATATAAAAGTTCATGTGACATAAAATTGACTTTTTGCGGGGAGGAGGCACAGTGCTGGGGGTAGAGATCTTCTTAAATCCTGTCAAGCTGCAAGCTGCACCCCAGCCCTCTAATTAATCCTTTTTTTTCCTTTTAAATTTGAGACGGTTCTCACTGTGTAGAACAGAATGGCCTGGAACTCCCAAAGCTCCTCCTGCCTCTGTCTCTGGAATGCCGGGAATTGAGGTATGCACTACCCTGCCCGGCAGACGAACCCTCTTGAGATCAGCAGCTCATTGCATTTCGTACATGCATGGGGTTGTGAGATCACCACTTCTGTCTGGTTCTGAGACATCTTCACCACGATGAAAACCTCTACCGCCTGGGCCCCGGAGCGCTCCGTCGTCTCCTCCCTGGATTTGCCTAGTATGGAAATTTCATTTCCACAGAATTAGGCAATACACAAGGGCCTCTTGGGACTGGCCTTGCCCTTGGCATGATGTGTTCAGCTTTGATGGGTGTTGCGGTCCAGGTCGGTGCTTCTGGCCCTTTTATGGCTTCGGAGTTTTCCATTGTATGGACCTCTCTTCATCTGCTGACTTCCTTCTCTGAGCTACAGTGACTAGTGCTGTTTGGGTGTGCTCTCAGGGATGGACCAGGTGGAAAGTCTCTTAACTTTTTGAGGACCCGCCCACAGGCAGGCAGCCATCTTGGTTTTTTAGGTGGTGCTGGGGATTTGAACTCAGGTAGGGCTTGTAGGACAGTCACACTTACCACTGAGCCGTCTCCTCAGCCTGTTTGTTTTGAGAGAGAGTCTCAGTCTACAGCCTGAGCTGGCCTGGAGCCCCCACCCACTTACAGTACAGAGGTCTGATAGCACATCCGTGATGCTGTTTGTGACATCTCACTAGGCCGCGGGAGACGTCTGCCTCAGTCATGGAACAGTGCAGCATGGCAGACACAGGTGGAGAGGTTCATTTAGCCCATCTAGCATGTAAAAAATAGTCCTGATAATTGCTAATTCAAAAGACGTGTGTGCGTGTGTGTGTGTGTGTGTGTGTGTGTGTGTGTGTGTGTGTGTGTGTGTGTGTAGCATGAATCTTAAAGAGTCTTATTAATAAAAACAAACTCAGGGCCAGGTATTGGGGTGAACACTGGAAGATCAGAGAGGCAGAACAAGCCACAGCTAACCTCACCTGGCCAGATCCTCACCTGGTCTTGTTTCCTCAGACTGGAAGCTTCTGTGTCCTCATCCCAGTGGCTCTCAGCTGAACTGTGCTGCTCGAAAGCCTGAATGCTTAACCAGCCAAATGCTGAACCAGCCAAATGCTGCTAGTTTCTGGTCCTCACACCTTATATACCTTTCTGCTTTCTACCATCACTCCCTGGGATTAAAGGTTCGCTTTCTGGGATTAAAGGCGTGAATCACCATGCTTGACTGTATCCTTGAACACATGGATTTCTGCCTCTGGAATGCCAGGATTAAAGGCCACCATTTTCTAGCCTTTGTATCTAGTGGCTGTTCTGTCTCTGACCCCAGATAAGTTTATTAGGGTG